TTTGAAAATCCTCTGCAAAGCAAATTTTTCAAATGACCATAATTTTCTTATATGGAACCAATTTGGCAAAACCCTTCTGAGGGTTTTCATGTCTCATGGGCCTCTCCAAACTTTGATATATCCGCTCTGGGTTAGGCAACTTTGACTTTTTTTTGTCGCACAGTGTTATCAAGTATCGATTGCACCTCGATGCTGAGCCATTACAACGTTTTTTTTTTCTTCATTCTTGCATTGAATTTGATCATTGCGCGTCCTCAGTCTGGCAAGAACAATGATGGCAAGATTGAGAGCACGTATAAATTGGAATTTGATCGCAAGAGTTTTTAGATCAATTTAATGCACACGGCGTGTTCATTTTAATGAACTTCAGCTGCGAGATTTTAATGAAGTACTTCGAACCAATTGCGAAACGGCATGAACGAAAAAGAAACAATCCATTCACAATGGTCGTTGAGATGAACAGAAAAAACAATTCATGTAATTCAATAACTGTCATCGAGATACAACTTTTGGCCGTAAAAACTTATTGCAAATCTATGTCTCTCTCTCCCTTCCTCTCTCGGTACAAAAATATCCATTTCAGACGCAGCATGGGTAATTCTATTATTGAGCGAGCAAAAAATAAAAACAATTGCACAGAAAAAGAGAATATTGAGCCTAACGGTTACATTTAAGCCCCAAACCGCATGAAGATATTTACACGCAACATAAATATGACAAACGTTCTTCGTTCCCCAATGGCTTTGTTCATTAAACAATTCATAATTTCCAAAGCGTGCGCTCCGGCTTTGCATCAAGAATGCGAGAAAACAACTCAATCGCATGGATTCAGCTCTTCAGCATCAGTTCAACTTGTGCAAAAAGAAGTAATAAAATTCATAAAGTGCGTAAAGTACACCTAGTTTTGTTGAACGTTTCCCAAAGCAACAGGAAGTCACAAATCACAAAGCACACATTTTCATTGACTAAACTGATTTGGCTGTTTTGTTCTTCGCTTTTGTTTAATCCATTTTTTTTATCTTTTCAACATTTTTTTTTCCTTAATTTTTCATCAAAATTCTGACAGCTAATTAAATATTTTCCATCTAAAAATAAATCAATTTCAATCGAGAAGATAATTAATTGAACTATGTGTTTGTGTTGCCAAGAGAAACTTGATGTGCTATTTATGATGTGAACTCTCTCCCCTTTGATTTTGTTTCTTACATTTTAGATTCAGTGTAACATCCATTGAATGTCTATCAAACAAGGTACAAAAACTTGCTGTGACATACTTTCGATGGCATGCATGATGCTGCCGGCTCATTAATGCACGTAGCGAAAATTAGCTTGTTGGATGATTTGAGATTTATCCCTGTGCCATACAAGGAATATTCGCCTCGAATTCATAATAAATGAGATTCAGAGAAAAATCAATTAGGAAGTCTTACATATATCCTTAATTAAGCATAAAGTTTGACAATTTTGCAATATGTTTGATGTCGTTTCGTTTAATTAATCATTTTTGTGACATTGTTTTCGAGTAAATAAATTCTCAATGGAATGTTTCGTTTTCGTCAAAGCAAAGATTGCTGCTTCAATGTTGAAGGAAAGTAGAGTTGACAGCGAAATTACTGTAACAGTTGCTTACCTTGAATTTGTGGAGCATTGGGTTTGTAGCCTTGGCAATCGGAGCTGATGAGACCATTTGTTGTTGAGTGAACGGCATTTGTGTTGGAAGCTTGAATGGAGGTGATAGCCGGTGCCTTCCTTCGGAACGATTCCAAATCACGTAAGTGGCTGGAGAATGATGAGTCTAAAAATGGTCGTTGACCGATACCGAGCGAGTTAATGTACGAAGTGATTTGTACAAATAAAACAATGAGAACAGTAGTATTCTGGAGCACTATGTGCATTTATTCGTATACCAAACTGAACTGAAATACATTAATTTTGTTATTCTTTTTATAAGTTACAACTTGATATTGAAAATTTAATTAATACGGAAAACTTGATAATGAACTTGGAATTTCAATCAATCGTAAGTGATTGGTTTCGGTGTACATTTGTTAATTATATTTCTTATCAACATGAAGCCCATTTCAGATGTATTCAATTATTTTATTATGAAATATCGTATGTTAACTATCCCCCTCGTAAAATGAATCGTCCCTGATTCATTATTAAAACCAATTTTCATTCAATTTTCACTCTATCTGATTTTGGATCGTAATATATTTATTTTATATAGGCTATTTCCGTTTTATTTTTTTTGCATCGTTCCATTTTTTATTGTCCTAAAAATGAATAATTCAATGAAAAGCTGTATGTCTTCTGTAACCATTTTTTTTCAATTCAAAGAATCGGACGATATATTCGTGATTTTAACATGGCCATTGTGGCATTCACGGAATATGAATGAATCCACTTTTTTTCCTCTTCCTTTTTTATTAGAGATGGATTGAAGTGCACAACATGACAAATAATAAAAGAAAAAACTAGAAAAAAATAATAAAAAATAAATAGAACTAAAGCTAAAAAATGATCGAACAAACACATTCATGCACAACATTTTGTATATATATAGATATATCAAATATGGTAAGGTTTTTTTGTTTGTGGCGCCATCTCTATGTCAGGCCAGTGTTGCCAGTTGGGATCGGACAACTGATTTGTTTTAATGCCCAAGAGGTTTGACACATCCACTTTGACAGTTCAGAAATAAAAATATTCCACAACGAATTTGTATGTTCATCATTTTTCTTTGAATATTTTCTTTTAAAATGTCGATTTATCAAACATCATTATCTGGTAAGTTTTGTTTACATTTATGTGCAAAAGATATTCAACATTCTTACCGTTGCATAAAATGTATAAAATACATTTTATGTGAAGGTATTATAATGTGTATTTTATTAACTATTGATTATGTGCATGATTTTGTTTCATATTTGTGTCGTCCGATCGTGTGCTGTATTGGTTATAGAAATTGAAAAGGATATACTAATAAAAACAGAAGTTTGCGAAACTGATGAATTTCGTATAAAGACTGAGCTAGAAAATTTACATTTGGTTGGGGAAACGGGTAAAATGACTATTTTGTGATGTGACATTAACATTTTCTTAAGATTTGAAATAAATCCATTTTTTCAATTCAAGATCCACAGATTTCGGCCATCGATGATATCACCACCGCATTCAACTTTATGTACAAATTACTTGATGAAATAAAAGGAATCGCAACACATAAGGAGCGTTTGGGTAAAACTCAGCGTGTCATTGGCTTATCGACATCGTTGCTTCAACTAGTTACACAGTACGAAAGGGATTTCAACATAAATCCAGACAGTACAACTCAAGATGGCACACAAATTGGTAATAATGAAATATAATAATAAAATCAACATTAAAATAATTTTACAATTGATTATCGAAAAATTTTCAATCATTCAAAGGCTCATTAATATGGTATCGTGGTGTTTTGGGTGTCATTGAAGAGCTTCGGAAGATTTTGATAGTAGAAGCACAAAACGCAGCTGTTGATAATGAAACCGCTGCCCTTCGGTTCGAGAATCTTTTGAAGATAAAGAAGAAGTGGCAACGAAAAGCACAACGCCGTTATCCAGGGGCACGTTAACACAAAATGTTATCGATGTTTTGTATGTACAAAATCAATTGGTACAATAAAAAAGCGTGCTTGAAACTGGGTGTTGTTTTTTTAGTCGATTTATTTGGTATTATTTTATTCGATGTTATTTTGGTGGACGACATTTCAAATATTTGTCGTTCGGCTCGACGGACGGACGGACGGACGAACAAATACAAAATCTCAAGTTTCGAAAACTTCAACATGAATAAACTTGGAAGCCACGAAAACTTCTGCTGTCGCAAAATGTCAAATGTCAGCTGGTCTATCTTTTGATGTTATGGATGTTGTGAATGTTACCGAATTTAAATTTGCTTGTTTTTTGCTCATGGAACGAGTTTGAACCATATCTATTTTAAGCCTAAACATTGAATATTCTTTCCTACAATACTAGTCACATCATTTGAGAAAAAAGATTGACAACATTTTATTGACACATTTCAAAATGTATATTCGATTGATTTATACAATAAAAAAAAATTATAAAAAATTATTAATTTGATAACCCACAAATATTGCAATACAGCACAAAATTAAAAGAAGTAATTTTGATGAAGCTTTCCAAATTTTTCTTACACATGATTCTTATCGTCTTTGATATTGTTGTTCTATCGATATGGAATATGGAATATCGATATGGAATATGTTTCGTTTCCGGTCATTTAAAAAACTGAAAGTTCACTGAATTGAGTGATGAATGAATCAATAAAAATTCGTATACTAGTTTTATATGCATATTATGGCTACTTGTTTTTTATGTGTTTAGTACGATATTTGATTTAAAATTTTACTTTTTGATAAGATTCGTTATTTTTAGATAGAATTCAATCTTTTAGCATTTTTTTCGTAACAGAAGAGATTGAATGTTCTAATCCCCATAAATTTTAAGACAGGCGTTTTCTTTTACCATAAAGAATCTTTTAAAATAAATACGATTATTATGAAATCGTAATTTTTCTTGTGTTTTACTATATGGGTAAATCACTGCAACAAATAGTTTTTGAACATTTTATGCACTTCAAAAAATTTGATGGTCGCAAATAGATACGACCATACAATAATTGTCGTTCTTTTCTTTCTGGTTTAACCCAGAGATATCTTTGGTAAAGAAATTAGTCGTAGAAAACACATCACTGGAATTGAAAATAAAATTCCGCACAAGCAGTAATATTCTTTGTAATCAAATATATAAGTCATATTGCGTTAGAAATAATTCAACTGTTATATATTTGGTCGTGGTTTTACCAAACGCCTTGTTTCACAAGACTTAATTCGTGTTATGCACGAATTCCAATTGCTGAAAAATGATGTTTATTCGTCGCTTTCTTGGTCTTCGACTGCGTCAGAAATTTCATTTTGTAGTTCAGCCCATTTGGGCATACCTACACTTTATTGAAGCCAAAATTGATTTATTTTTCTTCTGAGGTCGAGTATGTTTCAAATATATGCAAATTTTTTCCGCACCCCCTGTGTATCCAAAAAGGGCGACCATGAAAATCAGGATATTAACACCAAAGGTCATATCTCCCCAGCCATGGGAGGAAGGGCACTACCTTGGGTCAAAATTTTAGTACTCGTGAATACTTATCCAACGGTATACATAACATTCACATTTGTCTACATTATATTCGAAAAACCATTACAAGAAAAAAATTAAATTTGTTGGTCAAAAAAATAAGTTTATCCCCGTTTTCTGGGCCAATGGGTGGATTTATCAATGGGGTGTGTTGGTGAAAGTTGTAGAGCGACTCATGAGGAACAATTTTGCTGCAGACCATTTTGCCCCATCTTGCTTAACTTAAAAATACACAGTCAAGAAGACATTTTTGTCCCATTCAAGAAACTGGCCACCATTTTTATGAGTCATTAAAAAAAAAATTATGACGCGATATCGAAAAATGGCTTTTGCAGCTTTGAAATAGACACAATTTACTAACTATTCAATATATTTACCTTCAAATAATGTTAAAAACACTTCAAACTGTGGGTGTGTGGAAATTGTTCGAAAAAACTTTTTTTTTGAAAATTTCAGACCAATTTCACAAACAAGCGATGCGTCTATTCTCTTCGGAATACTACCAAAAGTGAGCGTTCGTTGAGCTAATCGTTTGGTAGTAATTACATCTCGCTGCTACTGCCAGATGTCAAAAATACTGGACTGTCCCATTCAAGAAGATGTCCCATTCATGAAGACATTCCCTTAATCGCTACAGCTCATGCTTTTATTAGCTTTTATTATAATTTTTCATAGTAATACCAATTTTATTTTAATATTTAGTAGAAATGTATCCAATTTAGACAACAGTATTTTTGAAGAATTGTATGTATAGCGAATAGTGGTGGTCACGGTCGGAGGCCGCAGAGCGCCACTTCGAAGTCATTAGGGCTGGTGGCTAGGCTATTCGATTCGGGAGTGTCTCACTGCTTGTCAAATTGTAAATGAATTGTATAATGTTATTCAGTCTGTGATTAGACGGTGAAATAATTATTATTATTATTATTCTGCACCATACAGCGTTTCTTCGCCATAGGTGGTTTATTTGGTATAAATATTTGGTTATATATTTACAATATTTATAATGAATTCGTATTTTCAGTCTCTCCAAGTTCTATTTCTTCTAAAATAATCAGTTATTCTTTGCTTGACAGTGTTTGTGCTAACATTAAAATCAATTAAATAAGTTTTATATTCAAAAAAATGGCAACACCTGTCAAATTAGACGTCTACTTTTTTTTCTCTCCGTCTATTTTCAACAAATTTGTTTGTTTTTAAATTGTTTTTCGTCTTAATTGTACGATATTTTACATCAAATTGAAAGTTTAAGTCCTGTTTTACCTCAGCAATATAAAGTTTTCGTTCGAAATTTATTTTTGTGTACAGTTTCAGTGTATAATTTCTTCAAGTTTTTCTTCGTTCTGTTTACTTGTTATTGTTGTTGCCTACTGACTGACTGTAAACATGTGTACATCGAGCTGTGAGGTTAAAAGCCAAATCGCTGAGCTGTTGACAATGCTGGAGCCAATATGGAACAAATTAAACCAGCTCAAACATCTTTATTCTGACGAAATTAGCTCCATGAGTTCGGACAAAGCCGATAAATCGGCAAACTCACGTACTGAGCCAATGGATGAAACTCCGGCACCAACCCAAATTCAGCAGCAAATATCGGACAACGTGTCAAACTCGGGTTTACCGCTTGTAGACTTGCAAAATGTAAACATTTCACGGCGGAATAAAAGCAAGCGGCCCAGACTTGACTCGGAAGAACTGAACTCTTCAGATGAAGAGCAAAGTGACACTTCACCGCTGTGCAAATTGGTTTTTAGTCGTGATGCCAGTGGGAACAGTGGACAAAACGGTGCAAATTCAAAGCCCGTTGATACTATATTGATGCGCTCGCTTTATTTAACCGAATTTCTACCGACAACCGAGCCTGCCGACATTATTAATCACTTGAATAGCATTGAAACTGTCCGACCTTTGACAAGTGATTTCAAAATTACCAAGCTCGTGAAGAAAGACAACAAAATGGAGTTGTCATTCGTGTCATTCAAACTCGATGTTCCTCGCCAACACTTTGACAAGGTAATAGCGGCAGGTATTTGGCCCAAGAAAATCAAAGCCACCGAATTTCAGGTCAAGTCTGTGAAGTCATCTGCACCGGCAAACCTTCTCAAAACTCACGAAAACCATCAAATTCGGTTGCAACTACAAAATTTATCAGCAAAGGCCGCTCAAACTAAGTCAAAAAACTCCAGTGGCACAGCTTGAAACCAACGGTTGGAACCGGCAATGAATGCATCGAACCGGAATTGCAACAAACAACCACTACAGCGCCCACGGAGGGGTCGGCGCCAACGCAATCAGCAGAATTTGTGCCAAAAGAGCTGTTGTCTCCAACGTAAGCCTCAACCCGTTGTGAAGAGACAGCACAACGGCTGCACAGGTTACTACGAAGGAAATCGTCACGATTTTCATCGCCGATGTTGCAACTAAAGTCATGCACATCGGATGATCACTGCGTTTTGTGTACAATCTATTACCAAAACTGTCGTAGCATATGCAACAAACACAAACGCTTCTTTTGTACCGCCGCTTCCTGCGATCACGATATGATAATATTAACTGAAACGTGGCTCAGAAATGATATTTATGATGCTGAATTTTTTGACGATTCATATTCTGTTTTTCGTAAGGATAGACTTTTTCAACGCGGCGGTGGTGTACTAATTGCAACCAAAAATGACAAATTCGCCAGTGAAGAGATAAAAATCGCCGGTGCTGACGATTTGGAATACGTTTGTGTGAAAGCTACTACTAAATCACATGTCATCTACATCTACTGTGCATACATTCCATCAAATTCACCGCAAACAGTCTACGAATCACATTTAACAGCCATGCACAAAATCGCTACCGATCCTGAAGATGTTGTTATTTTTGTTGGTGATTTTAATCTGCCGCATGTTGAATGGTCAATTGATAGCGACGATGACAACATCATGATTCCAACTAAATTTGCACCGGAGTACACGGCCACTTTCATCCAGGGACTCATGAGCATGGGAGTTCATCAGGTAAATCATGTACGTAATGATTCAAAAGAACGACTATTGGACTTGTTCTTTACTAATGATTTCACCAACCTTTCGATTGAGCGTGTAAATGAGGTTAACGCACTGACGGAAGTGGAAGATCATCATCCACCGATAATTGCTACATTTGAGTGGCATGGAAATAATACGACTGAAGCCAATATTACAACAAAGGCATTCAATTTCAAACGGGCCAACTACAGGGACATGAATGCACATCTGGCAAATGTCAATTTTACCGAGTTGTTCCATGAAAAGACAATCATCGAGAAGGTGAACTTGCTGCACAAGACTTTGGACGATGCAATCATCAAATTTGTGCCTACTTACATCGTCAAGTCGATACAAAAATGTCCATGGAAAAACAAATACCTAATAACACTAAAATATAGGAAAAATAAGGCATGGAAACGCTTCAGACGGTCTGGCTTTAAACCGTACTATGAATGGAAATACATTTTGGCGTCTCGTGAATTCGATAAACTCAACACGGAACTATACAACACATACGTGGACAAAATAGCAACTACGATGACTCAACGACTCAAGGCGTTCAACAATCACCTACCGATGAGTCACAGTAAACTGAGGAATTCCAGCTCGACATAAATTTTGTGCTCGAAGAGCTACAAGTTGTGAACACCAAGAAAGGTACGGGTCCAGATGGTATGCACCCATTGATACTGGACTCGGCTCCACTCACCGAGATCTTCAACGAAACATTGTCAGCTGGCCATTTCCCTGACAAATGGAAACGCTCGAGTGTATCCCCCATTTTCAAAAAGGGAGCCAGATCGAAGATAGAGAACTACCGTTGCATAGCTAAGCTCCAAACTGTGGCGAAGTTCTTCGAGCATTTGGTGAACGTTAAACTTCCGTCTCTGGTACAGGACAAAATCACCAAAAAGCAACACTGCTTCATGAAGTCCAGATCTACCGCATCTAATCTCACCGAATTTATCTACTATGCCCAGAGAGGCATAAATTCTGGTGCGCAAGTAGAGGGTTCTCTACACGGACTTCAGTAAAGCGTTTGACAGAGTAAACCACAAGAGATTGATTCTGAAACTCAGATCGTTCAACCTGCCAGACAATCTTCTTGCTTGGATCGAATCATACCTGTCAAACCGAACTCAATTCGTTAAGTATGGGAGCAGCGAGTCGAATGAATTCAACGTATCATCTGGCGTTAGGGTAGTCATCTCGGACCCACACTATTGCTGTTGTTCATCAACGACATAGTGGACGAAATGGACGACGTGTTCATTTCCTTGTTCGCTGATGATGTAAAAATTGCCAAAATCATCAACTCGAGCGCGGATGCGGAAGTGCTACAGCGGGCCATCGACAAGCTGAAGGTTTGGTGCGACGTAAACAATTTGCACCTGAACCTTGACAAATGCGCCGTCCTCACAATCACCAAAAAAAGGAAAGACATCATCGACACTAATTACAAATACGGTGATTTTACCTTCAAGCGCGTATTGGACCACAAAGACCTCGGCGTCATCATTGGCCAGAAGCTCAGCTTTGTCAAGCACATTGACGCGATCAGTTCGAAAGCTACAGCAGCCTTGGGATTCATCAAAAGATTTTGTTACGACATAACCGACGTTCAAACGCTCAAAACACTATACTACGCACTGGTTCAGTCTCATCTTGAGTACTGCAATGTTGTATGGCTACCAACTTATACCGTGCATATCGACAAAGTTGAGAGCGTGTTGAGAAAGTTCACCCAGTTCGCCCGAAGAGAGTACCGTACGGCGGCCAACGGCTACAGTATCACCGACTACAACAAGCGACTTGAAGCGTTGAACATGACATCGTTGGGGCGTAGGAGAGTGAATGCATCTATTGTATTCATGTACGACATCGTGAATGGGATCGCAAATTGTCCCAATGTACGCAATGACATCGCAATTGGAGAGAGCGCACGTAGGTTAAGGCACACAGACTACCTAAAGATTAAAGATAAGCTCATGGACAAACAAATCAGAGCTCAAGTGCCTCAAATATGCAAGTTTGCAAACAAAGTGGCTGAACAATTCAATAACTCAACCAGCCGTGCTAATTTCATCTCGTCGATACGCAGCGAACAAAACCAAAAATTTAATATTAAATATTGACAAATTTTTATCTTACATCCCTACAAAATGTATAGAAATAATGATATTTATCCGTGATTTTTACACAAACTTTAAAATAAGTAGCAACATTAACTGTGATATAGCCATCCATTGAGTTGGTGATTAACTTTTGACCTGCCATTAATTTATAATGGAAACTACCGTTTATGTTAATGTATTTGCAAGTATTGTAAATTTTTTTTTTCTTATGTCTTTCGGTCTCTACAAAATTACAAATTCATAACTACCAACAGGGACTTGTTAGATTAGACGTAAAACTTTTCTTCAATGTATCACCTCTGGATAAATTGAATGATGACTTTTGCAGTCATTAGGGCCGTCACTACAGTGTTAACGCTTCAGTTAGTCTTTCATTTTTTACACGTTTAAGTTAGGCTATATTGGACCGTTTACATTTCGGCTACCTATGCATTTCCATGTATTGGTTAGGTTATCTTGTGTCAATGCTTTTTAGACCAAGTTGTTATACCAATAGAAAAAGACTATTACTTACAACTACTTATTGTATAAAATTACCATATATTGTACAAACACAAAAAGATCAGGTTTTTCACGACTCTTGGAGTCGTTTTCCTGCAAACCAAAATATTCAGCCAGTTTTTGGCGGTGTTAAATAAATAAATAAATAAATAAATAAATATATTTTTGGAATAGTACTAGTATCACAATCATTCGTTTGATTTGGCTCTATGATATTAAAGTATTTATAAAATTCATTATATGTGATGAGCATGTAGTTAATTGGCTCAAACATTGAGTAGTTGTAGATTCTGGTCGGCAGCTCTAGGAATTCGGTGTTCCGTGTTCGGAGTCGTGGTGTTCTTAAGTTAATTTTCTCCATAATATGCTTCGACGATGTTTGGCCACAGATAACATTGTGTATGAAGCAAATTTGTGCGATTTTTCTTCGTTCTTCCAAGGTAATCATTTGTAGAAATAGCAAATGATTGTTGTATTGTGGCAAAATGAATCTGTGTGGCCATTTCATTTTTCTCAGTGCAAGCAGTAGAAATTGTTTTTGGACTGATTCGATTCTAGCGATTTTCTCATTGGTGTATGGGTTCCATATTTGCGATCCATATTCAATGATTGGCAATAGGAACGTGAAGAAAAGTCTCTTTATAGTCCATGGGTCATCGAACTCTCTTCCGAAACGTTTAATCCACGCAAGTCTAGATTTGGCTCTAGCAGTTATGTACTCAATATGAGCATCGAAGTTCATTTTTTCATCCAAAACGACTCCAAGGTCCTTTATTATTTTTACCCTGTCAATTGATTTGCCTTCAATAGTGTACTTGAAGTCAAATTTCAGCTCGCCACGGTGATATGATACGTAATTCGTTTTTTTGACATTCAAGTTCATGCGGTTACGTTTGAAGTACTTGACGACTCTATTCAGGTCAGCTTGAAGTGCAAGGCAATCATCGACTTGCTTTATTTGCATTGAAAAGCGAGTGTCATCGGCAAACGATTGTAAGTTGGAGTTGACTATGCAATGGGGAAGATCAATGATGAACAGAACAAACAGTGTCGCTCCAATCGGGTATCCCTGACCTGTTCCCGATGTTACTTCAATGGGAGTAGACATGGCTCCATTCAATCTTACTATTTGTTGACGTTCACTTAGATATGACTTTATCCATTCCAGTATTTGCTCATTCAATCCCATAATTTTCAGCTTGTGTATGAGCAGTTTCACGTCAACCGAGTCAAACGCTTTAGCAAGGTCGAGATATATTGCATCAGTTTGGATTCCATGTTGCATGCCGATCAGTGTATGTGATGTAAATTCGGCCAGGTTCGTTATTGTTGACTTTCCTTTGACAAAACCATGCTGGCTGCTATCGATGATGATCCTCATGTGATAATTCAAATGATTTGCTATTATCGAATCCAACTATTTAGGTATTATGCATTGCAGTGCTACTCCACGATAGTTCTCAATTTTGTACTTAGCTCCACTTTTGTGCACTGGTCTTACATAAGAGCGTTTCCATGTGTTCGGTACACAACCAGAATTTAACGATTCACGCAATATGTGTGTTATTGGCTTCAGCAATGTGTGAATGCAGTTTTTGATGAACATATTCGGTATTCGTATGATGAACATATTCGGCATAGTGGCGAAGCGTTACGACTACGCGTACCACTACGAACCACTACGTTTAGGGAATTAGTGAACGTAGTACTACGCGTACTCGTAACGCTTCGCCACTAGGATATTCGGTATACAGATCGTGACACGTATCAATGACAATTTTCTCTTTTTCGCTCACCACATTTACAGCAACAGCCACTTCTGGATTTGGCTCAAAATTAATATCAGGATCATGGGCATCATTTGTGTTGCATGTATACCAAATCAGATTGGGCAGATTGAAATCACCTGATACAAGCAATACATCATTTTGATTTGCTTTTGATGCTACTTCACGCAATGCATTCATATGAGCTTTATAAACTTCCAACGGTGAATCTGGTCTTATGTAAACTTGTGCCAGTATCAAGTTTCTGCCGTTGCATTTTACTTTGGCCCATACTTGTTCAGCACCAAGATGTTCAGCTGTTCCGATACATTGCGGATTGAATGTCTTGTCGATTGCGATAAGAACACCGCCCCAGCCTTTTCTCTTGATACGCTGAAACTGTTCAGTGGCAGGTGATCTATCGCATCTGAATACTTCAAAGTTCGGCGGAAATATCTTTGATGAAGAAACATCTGCGTTGAGGTGCGTTTCGCTTAACATGTAAATTTTAAAAATCGCTGCTAAAACTTCAGATAAAAAATCAACTGATTTGTCTATACTTTTCACGCCGTTCAAATTATTACAGTATATCAAAACGTCATCAAACATTGTATGACTTACATTCCATTGTGATTTTGAACGTTGAACGGTTGGAAGGTTTGATGTGGTGCATGTGGTGCGTGTGTATAGTGCGGGTGGAATAGTGGCATAGTTGGCTGAGAATGAACCTGTTGCTGAGGTGGAGGGTAGAAATATGGCGTTTGGTACCAAAAAGGAGGCGGCATATTGGTCTGTGGCAATTGTCCATTGTGCATGTGATCTACACGATGGCGAGGTTCATAATTATATCGACCGTTGTGGTTATTACGATTTCGATTATGGTAGCCGAATTCATTCGATCGATCCTCACGTCGGCGTCTGTGTTGATTATTCATGTCCCGACGCTGATTGTTGTTGTTGTTATTGTTCCGGTTGTGTCTGGTGTGATGTTTGTTACTGTTGTTGTTGAATCTATTGGAATGTCGTGAGTTTGAAGTTGACTTGGCTGTTGTACGACGGTAGTGATTGTGTTTTCGCGCATGAACATTACTTCGATTACGTGTTTTTTCAAAAGCTCTAACACGATATTCACTTGACCAGATAAATAATAATAAAAATAATTATTCGGGAGATTTTGAAATAAAAAAAACTTTGTTCGGACCGAACATCGAACAAAATGAATGTCGAACGAACGAACGAACAAAAAAATATCTTTTAAAATTGTCGAACGAACGAACGAACAAAATTTTTTTTTTTTTTAAAGTCGAACGAACGAACAAAAAATATATTTTTTTGAATTGTCGAACGAACGAACGAACCATCACTAGCGGCGCGACATGGGCGCAAAATAAAAGGCAAAAAAAATGTGCCAAAAAACCCCATGTTTCTTTACTATTTTCACATTTTATACTTTGAACACTTTTTCTGGGGCTCATGGGGTCAAAGAGGATAAGTTACTAGGCGACTTTTGTAGCCCCATCGATTCCCCTTCCAACGGTACCATAGGTTTGGCAATGTGTCAACTACTTCTCAGTTAGATTTCAGTTGGCACAAACCCTTTTTTTCGATTTTTTCAATTTTCCGCAAAATTTACACTGGGTGAACTCAGAAATGTGGGCTACTTACAGCCCTAAGATTTTGGCTTTCTCATTTTCTATCGAAAACAAGATCCCAAGCCGATTTTCAGTCAATTCGGCGACCTCACATTACAACTCTTCTCTGATTTCGTGTGGAATTGCCGATATATATGTTTTCGGAACGCTACCCAGCATCTGTATAGATTCAAACGTTTAAAATGACAACCATTCCGACTACTCTGTGTCAATCGAAGTATTAACAAATATCTCACAAGAATTTCGATTTGTGTATTGCTTATACACACTTCTCTTCCATTTGAATACAACGCAACACAACACAACAGACTCATTTGTTAGTGTTTTTGTTTACTTTGATTCCTTATGAGATTATTTTGAGTTTCTACACCGACACCAGTTGAACATAAATTTCATCACGAAGTGAAATTTGGACATATATTTTAACACAAGTACAAATACTATGAAACATAGAGTAGCTGAATATTTTAAGCGAAACAGAATTTGGAGAGAATAAAGTAAATTAGAATGAAATTATCACATTGTAAATAATGTTATATGTATAATAATAATATTAAAATTCATATTGAATAAACTACCTCTGGCGAAGAAACGCTGTATGTTGCAGAATAATAATAATATTGAAGCTAGCATCGATTGAGTAAAGTTGTAAAAACCACACAGTGAACTTATTTAATTTTTGTCAATCCAAGAGTGCGTAAATAATTTATCAAGTGTTTTTGTACAGTGTACGTCGTTTAGTTTACCAATTAAAATGATTTTTTTTGTTCAATAGTTTTCCATCATGGCCCGTGGAGACTGTGGAGCTCGCAGAAATGGAAGTGAGGAGAGGTTTACAACACTCTCAGAATTCAAAGGAGGCAAATTAAAAAACATTTAGTGTAAAACATCAAATTACCCACTGTTTTTTGCCATTGTAGGCAAAATGTCAGTTTACCTCCACTGTATGAAAATTGTCGGCAAAATGTCATTTTACCTACATTTTTGGTGGAACGGTGTTTCAATGTATTAACAATGTAGGTGAAATGACATTTTGCCGACAATTTTAATACAGTGGAAGTAAATTAACAATGGCAAAAGACAGTGGGTAATTTGATGTTTTACACTATATGTTTTTTAGTTTGCCTCCTTTGAATTCTGAGAGCAGGGACTACAAACAATCATCCAAACACCGTATCGACGTATTTGTCAAGGAATTGGGGAAATGAGCATCATGGCAACGCTAATCTCACTCCTAGCATCGCTCTATTTCCTATATTTGTTTCTTTTTACATTTACAATTTTCGCATAAAATATCCACATTATTTACAATCCACATGCAAGAGCCAGAAATACCAGAGCTTCCTTAAACCACCAACTTTACAGTTGTTCTATAGTGCACATGTAAGCGGCGACACGTGAAAATTGATGCAGATCATTGTACAATATTTTACTACAACAAAACAACTCGAGCAAAAGGTACTCGAGTCTACCGAAACGACGAAGTCTAACAGCGCTACCTCACATAGACTGAATTTAAGAAGAGAGGAGTCTGGAGTTCGTATATCAGCAAAGACGAAATTATCAAACTGGGCAAGAATAAGAAGGAATTGGGAAATTCGATAGTATCAGATGGTATGTCAGCGTCGGTGTTATTCAAATTGCCTAAACAAAGCGAAATGCTGATGATGATGAGACTTAAACCAAGCGCAAATATTTGGCAAACGAATTTGTGTATGCACTCGGAATCGATCCGGGGATGCGAACCTGGAATGCGACAGTCCGCCGCAATCTCAAGAAGAGGTAAGCATTGACAAAATGAAGATAGGAAAAAGATAAAGAAGAATTAATTCACTTTTAATGCATTTTATTTTCAGAGCAACGAGAAGCATTTGTTCAAACAATACCATCAGAAATCGAAGCAAGATGCGCGCAACATTAAAACCGAACGAATGACACGAGTCTTCACGGTGCGGTGTCCAGGTGTTCGCAAGCTGATTGCAGCCTCAAAAAGACTAATTGTGTTGTTCGGCTGGTGGATGAATACATGACATCGCAACATTTAACAGATGATTCAATAGCAAACGATACAAGAAGTGCAACGACTGCCGAACGGATGAACGTGTTAGACTTCCGAAAACCATCTATACGAACGTGGGCATACGGGTGTTGCAGATGCAACGGGAAATCATGCGCACATAGGAGAAAATGCAAGACCAAGGTGATGCTATAGCAGCCATTCTAACCCAACGAAATTCAGGACGTTTGGTGTCAAAGAAGCAACGCTTCTTCGAAACCAGGAAACCAAATGCTGATGAAAACGTTGGGACAGGAGACGCTGCACAGTCACGCAAGTTGCTCAAAACACTTTGGCATCGGGACATATCAGCAGCCAAACTGATCATGTACAAAGGTTCATTATCTATTAATATTTCAATTTGGAAGTGATATGATTTGGTTTTCGGTTGAATTAACTGATTACTATTTACTTAGGTCTTTGTATGCTGCTTGACATTCGAAACATATTGATGAGACGACCAAATGTGTTCCACTAAATCGATAATTCAAAATCCAGCGTTTAGCATTAAAGTTTTTTCTACCAAATATTTTCTAATAGTTTATTGGAGATCTCAAGCCTTGCACTTAGTGGGCTATTTAAGGTGCATGAAGTGTGCTTTAGGTGCGCTTCATGTGCCACAAGTGGTTGTATAGACGTTATTTGATGGTCTGAAAGAATCATATTCGTTTTTCGCTTTGGCAATGTCAAATTGGCATCACGCCACCGTTCTATGGATATGACTTGTTCAATGCATCATATGAAGATAAGTAAAATTTGTTCAACGCTTCGGAACGAGAATTATTCAGACATTTGAAAGAATAAAAAAAGCCTTTTTTCGCTTCGGGAAGAGTGAATATTGATTGCTCCGTTGTGTGAACACCATTAATTGATTCAGAATTTCTTTCGCTTTAATTTAAAATCTACCGATTTTCTTTTTCAGGTTATGAAAAACACCCTAATTGTATAGTAGGCAGTAGCTTTTTAGAAGTAGAACAAGCTCAAGTTTTTTTTATCAATTTTCATGTCTCTATTCAAATAAATGAAGAGAATTTTGAAACAAAGTGACATAATTCTACTGTAGGATGATATAATAATGAATCTAATTAAAATTACTCTTCAATCTGATCAGCTTTGTGAAGAAAGATTTTGTTGTATGACATATCATTGAACGAATTCATTGAACATATCTTTTTGGTAATTCAATAAATACATATGACACTTCATTGAACGAATTCATTGAACATATCTTTTTTAGTATTCAAATCACTTTCTATAGTGAAACAAGAACACCATTTTAAAGTATTCCCTCTCAATTTCATTTTCTTGAGAAATGTGCATCTTTCTAATAGAAAGACAATATTGTGTTAATAACTAGTTAAAGTTCATTTTGAAAAAGGCGCGTGAAAAAAAATTAAAGTGTATTTCTTTGTATACTGTCTGCAGAAAAAAGTGGTTATAGATCGGATAATCTTTGGTAATATTTTCAATAAAAAATCATTTGAATCAGATCAATATGGGGGGTTATGAAATATAATTGACGCGACGTGTACATGCATTTCAAAAGATATAAATTTTCTCATGAAGTCGATACTTGTTTGTCTATTTTTTTGTTCTCAATCAAGACATGACATATAAAAATGCATAGACTATAGTCTAGTAATCTAAAGACGCAAAATCTCCGTATGTCAATCATGATGCAAAATGTGGAAGAATCAATGTTTGGTCAAATATAAAAGAGCAAGTTTGTTTGTGAAAACTAGTATTCCACATGATTTATGAACGATTTCTATGTCATAAATGAGACCTTTTTTTGCTTAACTTCCATTTTTCTCTTGAAAAGTATGTATAGGAAAATGAGTGGCAACGCATCATTCAATTCAACATTTGAAGTCTCCCCAATGCGAGAACCAATGCAGAAATCAAAGGGTAATGTAGTTTGCACAATTGTTGTACATTCATGAGTATTACATTCGCTTTCGCTTTGACATAGATTCGATGTTATCAGCTGAGGCACCAGAATTTATTCCACGTGTTAATGGTTCAGCACAAGGTAATCCTTTGACAGCACAATCGTATCATCGTAATCAACAGTCAGTTCAAATGGTAAACCATAATGCGTATCGTAGCCAAAATCATGCTGTGTCGCAATATTCGGTAAGTATTTGCTTTGTTTATTTAAAGAAAAAGAATGTTCTTGAAGATTTTATTTTAAATCTAGTTATTAATTAATATCAGGTACACAAATAGTAATCAAAATCGTAAATACACGAAATTTGGGAATACATGTGCTCTCTCTGTGTAGAACTTTCTGCATTATAAATATGATTTTTACACTTTGAAGTGATTGAATTGTCACTAAAGCAAAATAAATCATTTTCAAAGCGTACAGCCTATAATAAGTAAAAAAATGTTTAACATGAACTGGTAAATTTGAACTTCTCAACAATTACTCCATTATTAATAACATCAGATGGATTTATCGAAAATTAGGAATTCTCTTGGTATTTTTCTGGTTTTGAAAAACAATTGATCGTTTTTGTTACTTTCACGAAATAAATTTACAGTTAATATCTATATATAAACGTTAGTGTTTTTTAAATTGACGTTTATTCTTTATTGTTTGTTAACACAAATTATATATTTATACGTATGTATTCATGTATAAAAAACCACCATGTACTTGCTGAAAAAAAATATTTTGGCCGGAAAAGAACTGTTACAAAAATATTCAATTCTCATCACGTTAAAAATATGGTATCTTTTCATTAGCATAGCATGGTGGTGGCAGATATCTAAATGTCTACAGAAAATTTGGCAATATAAGGAAATTTGAATGAAATCTCTTTCATTAGATTTGCGCCGCAATTTTCGAATTATAATGTGGATATGAAATATTCGGAAGGAAACCAGTCGGACGGTAGAATTCGCATTCTGAAATTTAGCGTCCGAATTTTTTTCCTTTCAAAAAAATGCTTTCCGAATTTCTATTTTTTCGGGATTTTTTACCGTCTGTGTTTTTGGTATTCCGGAAAAAGGGTTCCAAATTTTCGGCTCCCGGATAAAAGTTTTCAGTATATTGACATGGAACCGAATAAGTGTGTGAAACTCTTAGCGTTTGTCCTTTTTGAATGCTTACCAAAGGTTGATCTGGGCCGTTGATTATCTGATTATTCCACAAGTACTGTCATCTTGGTTGTACGTTGAACGTTAATATCAATACTATCTAACAAGGCTACTATGTATAATGCTAACAGTTTTATGTCGTTTAATATACCGAAAACTTTTATTCCATAACACAGTCCAACAAAATTCGGGTCATGGAAAAGGGACACCAAATGGCATATCAGACATGAAAGTATTCCTATAGACTAGCAAAACCCCAAAGGCGTTTTGCATTATTAGCTCGTATAAGAAAGTAATGGCCATAGGCAGTTTTCGTTGCTCAGTCGATTTTTCTCAATATGGTACATGTAGATTTTGGGCCATATCTTGTGAAATATTTGAATTATTATGTTGCTGTCAACGGCAAAGTTGTAGAAAAGAGTCCAATTGACAAATTTTACGAACAAACTTAACCTGAAAAAATACTTTTAGTCAATGTTTTGGAGCAAAATGTCGAAAAAATCGATCAATTACATTATTTGGCTCAATGTCCATAAAATCCCCAAAAATGGTTCCAAAAATCAATTTTTTCTAGTAAAGAATATCTTTATGGATACTTCCAACATCACTTCAGATAATTCAAGCATGTTTTTTAATATTTGAGTGGAAAAAAAATAATTTCATAGAGAAAATTTGATTTTTGGACCCATTTTTGGGGATTTTGTGGACATTGAGCCAAATAATGTAATGACAGGTGATATATTTCAGATTTAGCTGTACGGAATTTCAAAGCTGACGTTCTTACCAAGAAAATATGGATAATGCGATCTCCCTATGACGTCTGGTTGCTTTTTGGACTAGTGCCAAAATCGTGAAAAAATCGACATGTCATCACTTGTAGAGAGATAACTTTCCAACTAGATGTTATAAGTGGATCGCATTGAACTCATTTTTTAGCTGTGATCATCAGCTTTGATATGGGATATATCCAACCCTGAAATATTACTGTTTCCATGACTTAATTTGGCTTAATATCCACCAAACGCTCAAAAATTGTTCCAAAACCCGAAATTTTTTGACAAATGAGTGAATTTTTTCATTTAACTAGCTAAAAAATTCGTTCAAGTTATCTGCAGAGACACTTTTATGAAAATTAAAGCGAATAATATTGAAATATATATGGTTATTTGCAAGTAATCGGCCTAAAACTTGAACAGAATGGCCATTTCTGGTACTAAAAAGCGATTTTCAGTCAAAAAAATGGTTGCAACGTGATTTTTTTGGATTGGCATCAGGAGGAAAAATTTGGAGTTTTACTTTGGCTACAATTTTGCTGAAATCAATAACCAAAAAAATTGCATACTCTTTGAGCTATGGTCGAAAAATTGAACTTTTTCCGATTTTTTCGACATTTTGCTCCAAAACATTGACTAAAAGTATTTTTTCAGGTTAAGTATGTTCGTAAAATTTGTCAATTGGACTCTTTTCTACAACTTTGCCGTTGACAGCAACATAATAATTCAAATATTTCACAAGAATTGGCCCAAAATCTACATGTACCATATTGAGAAAAATCGACTGAGCAACGAAAACTGCCTATGGCCATTACTTTCTTATACGAGCTAATAATGCAAAACGCCTTTGGGGTTTTGCTAGTCTATAGGAATACTTTCATGTCTGATATGCCATTTGGTGTCCCTTTTTTTTGTTGTACTGTGTAATCAACGGTCCAGATCAACCTTTAGTAAGCATTCCAAAAAGACAAACACCTTCCTTTAGGAAGCAGTTAAGAATTACACACGTTCAATTTGACTTGAGGGCTCATCGTCATCGTTCAATTTATGCCGGTACATACCACTGAAAATTTTCAACTGATGATTTGCGTGAGCAAAACTGGGCATAACATGTTGGAAAGGATCCTCCACCGAAAATCAAACTTCTTCATTCGCACGCCTTTTTTTGGACATTTCTCAGAAAATATTTCTCAGAAGAAATGATGAAATTCCTTAAATACCATATCAAATAAGAAAACTTCTTTCGAAGTAATTCCTCGTGACGAGAGCGAACACAAAACAGCTGATATCAATTTAAAAAAATCATTACGGTGCGATTCTGAAATTAGTTGGAAGAATGCAAAAAAAGCAAATCCAAATCGCTCCGAAATGATTTTTTAAAAATGATATCAGCTGTTTTTTGTTCGATTTCGTCACGAAGAATTACTTCGAAAGAAATTTTCTTATTTGATATCAGTTGTTTTGTACACGAATTTTTTTTCCCAACAAAACCAACTAACCCTAGACAAACACAAAGTGGTGTATATTGAGCCAAAGAAAATGAAACATGAAATGTTGTAGTTAAGAACCAGCATTGTCGCCGTTTTGAATAAAGCAAAATCAGCGCGTAGGTACGAAAGTAGACTTATGAGCATGTATCGAGGAATCGAGTTCGAGTCGCACACCGGAGGAAAAGAAAATTAATTTTTTTTTCGTTAAATAAAATTTGGTTTTTGGACAGACAGATGAAATTACGTTTTGTTTTGATGAAATTACATATCGCTTTTATGCTAAGAAACTATCACATGTTTTGTTTTTTCATGACGATTTTTTTTTATTTTGATTTTTTCATTTGAAGTCCTTTTTAGTGTTTGGTGAAGGGCTTGGTTCCGGAAGAATTTTATTCATCTGAACGCAAAAACACTTTGGTCATGAATTTTCCATTGTCAACGGCAACAAAAAAGAGTTTTAGTTGATTTTTGTCGATTTCTCATGTTTTTTCCAACTTCTAATGGCTATATCTCGAAAAACAGAGTTTTGCCAGATATAAGCTATATGTCAAATTTTAGCTCTAATTTGGGGCTATATTTGAGGCAATTTTGAAAAAAATCGTCGAAACCGTTTTCGAGAAAATGGCCGATTTGTGCAAGGCCAGGTGACCATTTTTTGGGTTTTCAGCCCATAAGACCATGCTTACTTGATTTTTCAAAGCTCAAATAGATGCCATTTGATAGATGGCCTCAAGACCTTTCCAACGATACCCAAAAGTTTGAAATCGGTTGACTGGGTTAGGCACAGTGATCATTGGAAAGAAGGCCATTTTTTGAATTTTCAAAGGTCGGCCAAGGCCAAGATGGCGGCCAAATCAAAAAGTGGCGGAACAAAAAAGTCTTAGTTTTTGATATAGTTCAATGCCTGAAAGTTTGAAAAAGATCGGACAAAAAGTACGGACGGACGGACGGACACACAGACAAAACTATTATCTCAGAATAATTGATGGAGACGGCAAAGAAAATTTTCAAATGGCCATAACTCATGAACTGATGGTCCGATTTCGACGTTCTTGGTCTTGTTGGAAAGGTCTCGACGAGAAGCTTCAGAAAAACCATGTTTTGAGATGACTGTGCCGCGTCCACCCCATGGTAAATGGGAAAAACTGAGAATTGCTCCAAATTTTTAAGTGGCCATATCTATGGAGACGGTTGATCGATTCCCAAGTTTGAATGCATTTTCTGGGCCTATGAGCCAACGGCTTTCTGACGATACTTCATTCATACCAGATGGCCTCTCTTTTTGGATCAAAAAATGAACTTCGATGCTCATATTCTAGACTTGCGTGGATAAGGCGTTTTGGAAGAGAGTTCAATGACCCATGGACCATAAGGAAACTCTTCTTCACATTCGTATTGGCTATTGTTGAATATGGATCGCAAATATGGAACCCACACACCAATGAGAAAATTGCTAGAATCGAATCGGTCCAAAAACAATTTTTACTGTTTGCATTGAGAAGAATGAAATGACCACATAGATTTGTTTTACCACAATTCAACACTCGTCTGCTATTTCTACAAATGATCACTTTAGAGGAACGAAGAAAAATTGCACAAATTTGCTTCATACACAATGTTATCTGTGGCCAAATATCGTCGAAGCATATCATGGAGAAGATCAACTTAAGAACACCACGACTCCGAACACGGAACACCGAATTTCTGGAACTGCCGACCAGAATTTACAACTACTCAATGTTTGAACCAATTAACTACATGTTCATCA